TTATATTTGGACGAGGAACATAACCTCAAAATTTCAGCTTTCTATCTTTTCTCGTTCCCGAGTTATCCAATTTTCCCGCCAAATCTTTCCCCTCTCATACGCGGGTCATATGCGTGAGGATGGTGCCGCGGTTCTGGGGTAGTATTTGGCCGGGGGTACCCATTAGCAAAATCTCGGCAATGGAAATTATTTGGCTGCCGAGTTGAAATACCCGGACAGACGAACACATACACACGCACAAAAACATGCACACACAGACAGGGTGGTCGCAGTATGCGTTTTTGCAATTTGCATATAGGCAAAAACGCATAAAAATCGATTTGCATAACAAATGCTTTTACTGTTTAGCAAATTGACTGATTATGCGTTTTTGCGAATATGCAAATGCAAAAACGCATATTCCGACGATCCATTGTGCACGTGTGTGTATATTTGTGTGTGTGTGTTTATATGTATTTGTGTGTATGGGCCAGTCCGGATATTTGAACTAAGCAACCAAGCAAGCTCCGGCGCTAAAAATTTGCCGGTAGTTTCTCTGGTCAAGGGCCACCACAGAACCGCGGTACCAACCTTCCTGCATGTTTGGATCCCGCGTACGAATAAGTAAAAGTTTTGGCGGAAAAATCGCTAACTTGGGGACCAGGAAAGCCGGCTGGCTGAAATTTTAAGGGGATGTTCCCAGCCCAAGTACAACTTACAGGTGTTAAATTTAGCCGCTAGTTATACGTGGTTCCCAAGTACAATCCCGTGAAAATTCTTGGAGGGAAAATTGTTAACTGGGGAACCAGAAAAACTAGAAGGCTGGAATTTTGAAGGTATTTTTTCCGCCCTCATAGAACTCAAGGACTTCATACTCAGCCCCCAATTATGCTTGGCTCTCACAAACGAGCCTGTCAAAATTATTGGAGCGACAAAATTACTAACTCGAGAACCAGAAAAGTTGGGAAGCTGAAATTTTAACGAAATGTTCGCTGTCCAAGTACCACGCAGTTGCACAATTAATTTCCTGAACTTTGAGGTCCAGTATGTTACAAATTCTAGCTACTGGCATTCCAAACAATTTTACTACAGCATGAAATAATGCGAAAACACATGATCATAGGTGCATCTGGTGCGCGTCGCCAATGATTTTGGGACAGTACACTGAAGCAAAAAACATATGGTTTATCAAATAACATGTCGTGAACGAAGGCAGTTGTCGAAAACTGTCACGGATTGAAAGGAAATCGAACACTACTTTCACTTCTGTATGCTACGTGTTACTCACCACACCATCTTCCTTGTGCATTTGGTTTAGCCTGGCAGCACATCTCCTGTGTCCCCGCCTTTCAAGACATAATATCCCTTTTCCTTCTACAGTGCCTAGCATAGGTGTTTCTCATTTTTATGCGTTTTTTGCAGCTATGCAATGCAGAAAACGCATATTGACGAGGGGTTGCCTGTCTGTGTGTCTTTGTGTCCGTATGCACGTCTGTCACGGTTTTTCATCTCAATACCTACAAAAGCTACAGGGCTGAAGCTTTGGGAACTTAATCTACATGCGCGTATGGGCCCCAATCCCAAAAATTGGCTCCATAACCCGCGTACGGGCCCGCCAAGATTTTTCCAGCGTGATTTCATAACTCGGGGATCTGAGGTGCTAGAAAGCTGAAATTTTTAGGGAATGTTTTCTGCTAGTTTTGGCCGCCAGTCTTAATTTGTTTGACAAGAAGGATCTGCCGAAAAAACCGATGCCGGTAGCAACAAAACTGCGGGGAACTATGCAAAAAACGCATCTTCGCACGGGCAGTCCTTGCCCAATTATTCTTTTTGTGGCGACTTCTTTTTTGTTGCTTTCCGCTGGTTTTTCGTGACACCTGTTTACTTTAAGATAGATAGTCGAATAAAGAGAGCACGTTAGAATCAGTGCGCACCCTATAAACAGCATATTCCGCGGCGGATCTTGCTAATCTTAGGAGAGTACATGCAACAGTGATCGGTCATGTGTGAAAATGCCCAGGGTGAGAAGTCAAATTCGTATGAAAGTATTCGCAGGAATCATCTGACCTATAACGGATGCTCAGGTTTGGAAAAGAACTACAACGGTAGCCGAACTGACGTGGAAAACCCAATACTGAAATTAGCATAACAGCAGACCGGAACCGAATTTGTGTAAGAAAATGCAAAATAAGTGCCGAAATTTAATGAGAATAGTCATACAGTTTTGCCACGTGGCCACACACAAAAAAAAAAAACTTATTTAAATCACGTAGTTTGAAAATCGATTATATGTTTGCGGCGATAGACACCATATGGCTCATTCCTCTGGCCTAGAAAGGCCACTTTTTCTACTCTCCCCTCCCACCAGCCCCCAACTTCCCACAAAGCCTGGCTTAAAATTCAAAGTTTGCTAAGAAGTATCGAGAGGACATGATTTTTGCAGTCCGCAAAAACCAAAGTCAGTGAGCGTTGCGGAATCAAATCAGACTCCACGAGTGCTTCCTAAGCGTGAACGAAAGCGAAGTCCAGATACATGATTTGTAAATCCATAACATAATCGCTACCCTCGCGTGAAGTGAGTAGTGATAAATTTCGGATTTTGTTTTGTTCGACATTTTTAACTTTAGAATGAGCGAAAGAGACAAAATTTGGAGGCGGTAAGATGAAGGTAAGCCATTTCTAGGCTGCACAATGTGTTCTTTGTTTGCATTTTAGCACTAAGAGACAAAACTAACAAAGTACTCATAAATCTTACATAACAATAGGCCTAAAGCGAACAACGTCACTCTTCTGTCGGAATATAGATCATAACATTTTTATGCTAATAAATCAAATTTATGGCAAACCGTAGGGAAAACAGAGTTTCAGAGACAATGTTTCTTGCAAATGAAATGAAAAAAATAAACAAACTGAGGAGAACGAAGTCCTAACTAGTAATTAGAACTGAAGAAACATTCGAATACGTGCGATTGTCGCGGACTTGAAGAATTATTAGTCCTGAAGGTGTTTGCATTTTATTAGAAGCTCGTCACATCTGCGCCAGTAAATTAATAGTTGTGGCCAAACCGCTTATGCTTTCTATTTCAACATTAGATTTAACATTTGAATTAGTACAATTACATTGACTAGACAAGAAGCCAGAATTTGCCTGGATGCGCTAAAATTCGACGCCTGGATCCATATCGCCTCCACTAATTTCTTAACATCAGCGACGGCGGGTAAGTGAACAGACAAGTTTAACCCAACTGCGAAGATAAAGCTCAAAGAACTGGAAGCTCAAAACTTGTAACAAATTACCAGTAATTTTTTAGAAAATACAGTACTTATTGCTGTCATATTTATTGCTGTCAATTTTTTATCAAAATGTGCAACAAAAACAGTGAAATTATTTAACACATAATGCTCTACAGCAACAGTCGAGAGCGAGCAACTCTCGGTCAGTTCAAAATTTAAACAGGAATGCTTTTAAGGATAAAATCCTCATTAATGCTCCTCGTTTGACCATTTGAATTCTTCTGACTGAAATACTGATGAGAGGCAAAAGCAAGCATGTTTGACGCTTGGGAAAGAGAAATATTGACGTTTCGTAACTGTAGCTAAGATTTTAGAAAATACCATTGCCGATCAAAATACTAATTTGAACAGGCACAGTTTTGTAGATGATAACTAAATCTAAACAAACAGCTCAAATTCATGTTTGTATTGCCTATGCAAATTTATTGCTCATTTGCTTGAAATTCATAGTGTCGAATCCAAGGAGGATGAAGGCTGATGTAAGAAAATTAAATTTTTACATGATCAAGGATTAAGTACGCAAAATTTCAGTTTTCTGGCTTTCTGCTCCTAAAGTTTTTCAGATTCGACATACACATATACACATGCACACAGCCCGTACACACACATACACACATGTTTTCATAAAGGCCCGTTTTCACATGCATAAATGCAGAAGGTAACATCATAAGAGAAATAAATGAGATAGTAAATGACCTGGCTGTCGATCAGTGGTCTTCTGTTGCTGCGGTGGATTCCAGGGCATAGAATTAATCCGCTTCTAAAATAGCAATTTATTTGAATGTTATCGCTGCTGCTGCTGATGATTTCGATGGAAAGAATAATAATAATGATGGAATGATATAAATAGTGATGAGGCTGACGACAATCGGCATGCGACTTCAACTAGACGCAACCGAACCTCTGTCTTCACCAGACTTAGCAGTTCAGCGATATTGCAGCGCTGATGCTGCTACTACTGAGGATGTCGCTGCTGCAGCTGCCGTCGGCGGCGACGGTGATGATGATGCCAAAAGAGCAGAAGTAGGCTGCATGGAACGTGGCCCTAACAATATATCCCCTCATACATCTAGGCTTATTGCTGCTTCGACGACTACTGAACATGGACACACACAGACAGGCGACATAACTCACATGCGCATGCACGTCCAGAGAGACAGCAGACACACACTTCACGGAACAGCTGCTGCTTTCTGGACGAGATTCCGCTTCTCCCCTCAGCCATGTAAAAATAAAATCCCGGAGAGAGGGGACGATATTCGATGCATGTGCTCTCTGATTTCCTTCGCTTGCTAGCACCTCTGCCGGCCAAGCATGACTAGTAAAACGGGGGACCCAGAGTGACCCAAAATCCTTCAGTTGTCTGCTGCATTCGTACTAGGCTCCGCTCCTATTGATCACTACTTTTCAGCGCCTGGCAAACAACAGTGAACATTTAAGTTATGGCTAGACTAGGCACTGCTGCTGTTCACCCATAAGCACATGCACGTCTTCGTGTCAATCTGAAACAGCTTCTTGCTCCCTGAACAAGTTGCGCTGAAATGCTCCAATACTACCAAAACCGAAGGCAAGTGTGGCGCGCAAGGATTGCACGTTAGGGATGCTCCCAAGCGTCGGGGCTTTACTCCGCCAAATCCTCATTCACTACATCCATTCTTATTTGCTTAAGTTATCATAGAAGAGAACAACGACTGTTCAAGTGACACCACTTCTCGTCACTGCAGTATCCGCAAACAAAGCGCAAAAAAGCTCGAAGCATCTCAAGATAAATGGTAAAAAACCACTTTAACTTGGTTTTATACGGTCTACGTAGAGATGTTAAAAAATAAATTAAAATGGTGACTTAGACGCAGTGGCAAACAGCACTGCTCTCATGCCAAAAGCGCAGAGTTCAATTCGCCAGGGTGCAAGCAATCTCTTTATGTTGGTTAGAACATGGTTACGCTTCTGCGTCCTCCAAAAAGCTGCATAATAAAGCAACAGAATAGTGAATCACAAGCATGTTCTAGTCTGTAAAGGATCTCAAAAACTTTTTATTACTAACAGACTTACTGGAGCTAAACTGTAGTAAGTGCCGACGTTTTAAACAACACACTTCATGCTAAAATCTCTATGATGATTTGTAAAGAAGTATTCAAAAACCAGGCAAAAAAGGGCGCTAGGATTTCCGAAGCGATCATGAGTTTTCACAGCCTGCATTTTATCGCATAATTGTGCGAATCGTTAACATGCATGAAAACTGCTGTTGCATTTTTCGTGCCCCACAGAATCAGGCAGCACCCTCATAAAATTTCGGCTTTCTTGCGTACCTGAAAGCCGAGAGAGTAGGATAACTACAGCGTTGCAGCTTAAGCATTTGTACAAGAAACAAGAAACAGATGTGTTCCATACATGAAACAGATGTGTAAACGAAAGCCCACTTTACACTTGCTAGTTCAAATCCTCGGGAAAAAGCTGCTTTCTGCCCAGTATGATTGCCGAGCTGATGGGGGAGTCAACAGTGTCTCAGAGTTAACACTCACTTGTATGTGTGTGAGAACAGGCACGCTTTAAGTGTTTCAGAAATTTTTAAGATGCAAACTGTGAATATCTCTGGCTAGGGGATTGGAAGAAGTCGGGGGCCTGAAGTCTTTTATGTGTTAACATACACTGTTTGTTTGGCACTGTCGGCCCGCTATTAAAAGGAACACAATCGAATTTTGACAGGAGTGGGAAAGCAGGAAGTGCCAATTTAGACCGAATTTGAAACATTCAGGTCTCACGTACGCACAGAATATTCTCGTTCAATTTCATTAGGCTGTTATTTTGACTGGTGGACAAAATCGTTTTCCGCTACAATATCTTTGTAATGTCTGAAAGCGCGACACAGGCGTACGCCAAAACTCATGCTTACGATCCCAAGCATGAAAAACAACTACTCCCATAAAGTTAAGGCACTCCAACCAGAATAATCCCTTAGTTGGCGCTTCGCCAACAATGCCTCAATCTCAAATTTAACGTGCTAGTACGAGGGCGGGCGCACGTAAAAGTTGAATTTGAAATCTTTAGTTGATTCAAAGAATAAAGCATTCCTGTGAAAATTCATCTTATTATTCCGTCCGGTTCCCGAAGTCGCTTTTCCACCAAAAAATTTACGTATTT